CTAGTCTAACTCCCTTATTTTATATAAAGAAAACAAAGGCCACAAAGAGGTCAGGTGATTTGTCCTAAGATGAAAAATAAAGCTAATTAGTTGCATGACGCGGACTACATCTCAGATATTCAGAATTTTCTCTGAGCTTATGACTAATGTATCCAGTGATATCCTGATAGGCCAGCTCTCTGGGAAAAACAAATTTACTGATAGTGTTTGCCAGTTTCTGTAGTATAAATATTCTTGCCGTGGCTGATTTTGTGATCTTACAGAATGCTGAGTTGGGAAAACAGGTACATAACTGGCTCTCCTGAGCTAGTGCCAGTACATCACTCTGTCTGCAGCTCAGTCCTAGACCAGGGGTTGCCGGCACAGTGCATGTTATTCCTCCCTCCTCGATCTAATTACAGCATCTTTTAGGAACACTAAGCTTTCAAAAGAGGAGTGTGCTATTAAGGCCTTTAAAAGTAAATTAAACTTCTTCAAATAAGCCTGATATTGTCTCTGTTCTTATAAAAGAGTATACTCATAGAGGCACCAAAAATAAGGGCACATTCCTAAAAGTTGGGGGAAGTATTTGTAGGTTAGTCTGGTAGGGTAGACATTAGAATGGAGATTTTCTTAGTAAATTAAAAAATGTTTAGCTTAAACAAACATCTTGTGAGTGTTGACAAGCCTTTAAATCTGAACTTTTTCTTTTTCCTTGTTTTAAGTTCTTGTGGGTTTGAGTCCCAGGGTATTGGAACCCATACTTCACAGACTTCTGTCTCCAGGGAAGGCCACCCTGCCTGGTGGATTGTTGGGCAGCCACAGAGTCCCTGATTTTTGCCAGGTGGGGTGGAACTCCCAGCCAACTCGAGCCGTGATCTTTGAAGACTGTGCTGTCCCCATGGCCAACAGAATTGGGAACGAGGGGCAGGGCTTCCTCATTGCCATGAAAGGACTGAACGGAGGGAGGATCAACATTGGTGAGGACACGAAGGGGTGGGGTGAGGAGGTAGCAGGGTGGGGCAAGCAGCGCTGTCCTTCCAGCTCAGGCGGAATGTTGGCACTCTTCCCCTCTAGCTTCCTGCTCTCTGGGGGCTGCTCATGCCTCAGTCATCCTCACCCGAGACCACCTCAATGTCCGGAAGCAGTTTGGAGAGCCTCTGGCCAGTAAACAGGTAATGTCCCTGGTGTCCCTGTGTGGCTTTCCACTCTTTGCAGCCCCTGAGACCTGCTCTGGAAACAGAAGGAAACAGAAGCCATGACATCCCTTGTAGAGTCCTACTACCATCTTAGCCAGAGCTTGTGCTTGCTTTCTGTCAGTGATCTTTTTCAGAGGTGACAATACTAGAGTGCAGAGCAAGCAGATGGACTCAGAACTCACAAGGCAGTAAAGTTCCTCCATGGAGGAGGCAAGAGACTGAAGCTTTGGCTCACTTAGAAAAGGCACTTCATTAGGGATGTCTTTTTAAGAGTCCCAGATTAGGTGCTGGTCTGAGCCTCTCTGTCTTGTCTGGTTCTCTTCTCCCCTGTTGCTGCAGTACCTGCAGTTCAAACTGGCTGATATGGCGACAAGGCTGGTGGCCTCGAGACTGATGATCCGCAGTGCGGCGGTGGCTTTGCAGGAGGAGCGGGAAGATGCAATGACCCTGTGCTCCATGGCCAAGCTGTTTGCTACAGATGAATGCTTTGCTGTACGTGATAAGCCCTCTGGCCCGCCTGAGATGGACGGGGAACAGCTGCTAGGCCCAGAGGTGTTGAGAGGCATAAGTCAGCTTTGGAACCCACCTCTCCTGGGATGCTGCAGGGCCACCCTGGGGCTTAAGGATGTAAATGAACTCATGAGAGGCCTGCATGGGAGCTCTCATAGCAGGCTTTTTGGGCTGCTCCATGCCATTACACACTTCATCGTGTCACTGCTCGGTTGTGCTCTAGATGAGACTCCACCTTTGGAAGTCTCACAGCAGCAGCTCAATGCCTCTTGCCCAAATTTAGCACTCTGCCATGTTTACGTTGTCGGGGCAGAGCCACGTTGAAGCTGGCCACTAGGTGGCACCTTAGCTTCGTGTAATCCTAGCCAGGATGGTTGTGGGCAACTTCTGCCCGGTAGGCAGTAAGTGAGAAAGGCAGAGGTCTTTGAGTTGCCTGTCTAGTGGGGTTCGGTAAATGAACTTCCCTTGTCTCTGACCACACAGAATGTGGACCCCTCTTTGCGCTTGGCTGTGAGTTGTTCATCCTCTCATTAGTCTACAACAGGCTGCTTGATCGGGGCTGGGTAGGGAGGGAAGCCACGTGATCCACAGTCTTCCCGCAGTCAATGGCATCTGATCCCTGTCTCCCTGCAGATCTGCAACCAGGCTTTACAGATGCATGGAGGCTATGGCTACCTGAAGGATTATGCTGTTCAGCAGTATGTGCGGGACTCCAGGGTCCACCAGATTCTAGAAGGTAAAAATTGTCAGAGATATTCTCTTCTTTCAGAATGGGTATAGGATCAGTGCTTTCCCCAGCCTGTCTGTCCCATCAGGCCCTGTCTGTTTTGGCTCCTTCCTTCCTTCCTGTCTTCCTGTCTGCCTGCCTGCCTTTCCCCAGCTCTGCTCTGGAAGTGGCCTGTTGGTGCATTAGGAGGAGCACCAGCCTGGAGTCAGGAGACTGCTTTGTCACCATGGGTAGGACGTTGAACCATTTCTGCTTCTGCTCTTTTTCTTTGTAATTTGAGAGAAGGCTCAAACCGAGATAATATATGAGAAAGCATTTTGAAGGCTATGGCAGTGGCTATTCTTTACTGTTATAAAGTACCTAGTCCTCAGGGATCTCAGAACTTGTATATGGTAATTTACAGGGCAAATGTGAGCCAGTATGGTCACCAGCAGCTCTACAAATTGACTATCAGCCAGACGGTCTAAAAGATATCTATATCAATATTGTTAGTAAATTTTTCAGCAAAATAAATCATCAGTATGTGGGTATCTTCTTGGTAGTCACAGGCATTCTGTCTGGGAAGTATGTAAGCCACTGGAGTCAGGCTCAGTACATGGCCTTCTCCACTCTCTACAACCAGTGCATAAGTCTTGAAATTCCATGACTCGTGTTCCAGCTAGTGTAGACAGCTGGGGTTCCACTGTAGGAAAAGCAGATGGGGCAGAGGCTTGTCTGACTCGCAGTGAAGTAATGTGGGGCTGCTTCAGTGGGGACATTATATAATGGGGCCTTCCTGCCCCTTTCAAAGTATCCTTCCGAAACCTGAGCATGCACCAGACTTACCTAGAGAGCTTGTTGAAACAGATTGCTGGGCCCTCGGGGACCCCCTCGCCCCCGGAGCTTCTGCTCCCATGGTTCTAGTGTGGGCCTGAGAATTTGCATCTCTAACAAGTTTTCCAATGAGTCTGCCACTTCTTGTCTGGGAACCAGACTTTGAGAGCCCTACTCCAGCATCATGTTTGAATTATAGACTGCTCACGGTTAGTCTGCTGCTTTCTGCTTCCTGGAAGCATGTTTATTAGCTCAGTTGCCAGTATTCAAATTCCATTCCCCAGGATCTCATTCCTTCTGTTACCCTTGGCGATTACTTTCTCAGTTGGCTTTTGTGAGTGTGGGAAACTTGCCCTTCATTCCAACTCTGTTTTTTAACTCTGCTATAATATGTGTGAAAAGCCAGATACATTTATTTTAGGTCACACCGTCATCTACTTGTAGAGAAATTTGGGTACTGGTCACTTTATTGCTTCTTTTTATCAGGGACTTTGCTATTGGATAAACCTAAAATTTTAAATTTGGCTTTATTTGATATTGTGTTTACTCATTCCTCAAGAGGGTTTATATTTCTCTTTGTATTAAAGGCCAGGGCTAAAAATGAAGCAAACAATTGATACCCTCTTTTCTGGGAAGATGTTTTTGTTCTTTCATAATTCAGTTTTCTGATTACTAAAGAAATGTGTATTCACTGTTGAAAAATTATAAAAAATAAGAAAAGTAAAAGAAAATATCCCTCATGTTTCTACATCCAGAATAATATTTTGGTATATCTCCTTTTGGACTTATTTTTTTATTTCCTGGCATTTTTCTGTACTTTGGAGAGAAGTCTATGATAAACCCATCCCTCCCAGAGATAAAAGCAGTGATTGTAGTTTAAATCCACAACTATCCTGAACTAGACTTGGAGTAGCCTGGTCAGAGCTTTAGTGAACTTCCAGATTTTGCTGCTATTAAATCCTTCCTTCTCTGTCCCTCTTGCAGGTAGCAATGAAGTGATGAGGATGCTGATCTCTCGAAGCCTGCTTCAGGAGTAGCGCCCACACTTATATTGCATGGTGTTCAGTGTGCAACTGCAGTCAGTGTTGAGGGGTTCCATGTGGGCTGTTCTGTTCTAAATGAATCATGGATTAGACTGAAGGGCTGAACGCTTCCAGGGTAGGACCTATACTCTGCGTGTGGGCAGCCGAGTCCTCAGTGGAAATGGAAGAGCTGCCCTGATGAGAAATGTCACAAGAAGACATACTGCCTTGTTTTCCTAATTCCAGAAAGGTGACAAATGAAGATTCACCATCAAACCCAAGTCTTTTCTTGGAACCACATTGTCTTGATTTTTCTGCATTTTGGTGGCTCACTGGATCCCTCTTCTTCTAGGGGCCTGGGTACTTGCATTGAAACTCTTCCTGCTTATAGAGCACAGGTGTGGGGAAATGAAGGGAGAATGCTCTCTCGTCTGTTTCTGTTCTCTGTAGCACAGCTAAAGATGCAGAGGGTTTCTCTGGAACGTAAATTATGATAAAATGAATATTTGGGAAACTACTCCTAAGCTGTGATTTAGGGTATATTTCTACTTCTGGACTATCTGAATATCAAGGGCTGAGATTATTTGGAATTTTGAATATTTGTTCTCTTTGTTTTTAGAAGCCTGTAGTCTAGGATTGGTATTTAGGGTTTCCGTAATCCTTCCTGATAAGTACTTTCTATCTGAGTTTTTGTTTCCTTTTTGGAAGTTGTTCCTTCCTCTTTTTAAATATTTTTAATCACTACAATGATGAATAAAGTCTACCCCTTTCTGTACTGTCTCTGGTTCTACTAAAGTCCATTTTTATATTATCCTTCTAAACCTCTACAACTATTTAA